TGTCCATCCAAAAAAAATGAAAAATGTGCGTTCTAATTTTACCAGGAAAATTCCTCCATAAATGAATCATCAATCAATCCATGTTGAACAACAAGATCCCAAATAGTCAAAACCTCAAAAAGAACATTTCCTAATTCATTTCTTTTTTATGTGTCATGATCTGGCCTGTTTGGTCTCCCTTAATTGGTTATTTCTTTCACCTGTCGTTTTCCCTCCCTGCCTCAATTATCATTTATTCTCCTCACCTGTTTCTTTTGATTTATATTCTGTTCAGCCTGTGCATTCGGCTCCAGATCATAATTATTTGTTTTCAGTTAGTCGTTCTGTTCAGTCTGTTTTATTCCAAGGTTCATGCATCCTGGATCCTAGCGGCCAGTGCATAGAGGGTTTAGTGTCTATCTCGTCTCCTGCTCGTCCACTGTTCCTCCCCTGCTGAGTCCTCTGGGTTTTTGGCTCTATTTGTGGGGAGGTTCAGTTTTTATCCCAGTAAGCCTGGTTTAAAGGTCCTGCATCAAGTTCCGGTTCCACGTCCGGTCTCGGCTACCCTCTTCCACTGAGCCTGCTCATCTGCACCTGATCCTGTCTGCTCCTGTGCGTGACCACCTAATAATGATCGTGGTCCCAGTCAGACTCTGAACCCACCTGGGAGCTCTATGATGCCTGGAAGCCTGGATCCTGCCACCTGTCTGTTCCAGCCTGATCTGGATCCTGTTCTGTCTGTTCCTGTCTGTTCTGAATCCCTGACCAGGATCGGCTTCCTGAAGGACCTTTGGAGCTGCAGCACTGGGGACATTCCTGGGCTTGACTGTTAAACCAGAATGTCTGTGATTGGGCGGTGCCCCGCCCCCCTCCTGCAGTGACCGCGAGTTACAGCTCCACTTTAGTTTTCTTTATTTAATAAACTTTTTGAACTTTCCCACTGACTGTCTCTCCTTGAATACTGGGTCCATCTGTCCGGGTTTCTTGACATTATTTAAGTTTGCATTTATATTCTGCTGTAGAGCTAAAAGTTATAAACTGGCTTATTTGTATAGGATACATAAGCATAAGAAATGCAATAACTCACCAAAGCATCACATCTTTATTTTATCTTTAATTCCTATCTGTGTCTCTTACATTTCTAAAGTTTTCACAGTAACAGAACTGGTTAATGCAGCATCCCGGCCTATAAATGCTGTGGGTGACTGGATTAGTCCTTTCTGATGACCTTGAAGCCTTGCTTCCTTTAATCCAACCACCCTGGGAGGCTTAAAGCTTCTGCTCCTGCAAGGAACCTCCTTAGATTCTTGTTCAGTTTATGAAAGAACAAGCAGTAAATGAACCAACATTTAAAGGGAAGAGAACAAGATGGAAGGAACCGCTGCTTATAACCAATACCTTTCACGGCTTTGCCACAGGAATGCTGCTGAAGCAATGAAATTACAGGGAATTAGAAGTTAAATGCATCCTGTGTAAATACAGGCTGGTGCAGATGCAACAGTCACTAAAACCAGTCGCTCTCTAAAGCTGATTCTGTCAGGTTTCAACCTCTGACTAGCATGTATTTTTTTCTATTTAACTTTCATTAATCCAGCATGATCCCAATGAGATTAAGAAACTCTTTCTCAATGAAGTTATGGCAATAACTGCAGTTCTATGAAACAGAAGGGTTGCTTTATAATGATAAATACAACTGAGAATTGCAAGAGAACATTAAACTGCATCATGGAGAAAAAGCTTTGAAGATCATAAAAGCCACAATAGACCACAACATAGAGCTGAAAGAGCACAGTTGAACCACAAATCTAATAAAAGAGGTCAATGGTAAATATGGCAACTACAGAGGAGCACCAGAGATGAACAACTCCGAGGGGAGAACATGTCAATACAAACATTACTTCTCCACTCCCCAAAAATTAGCCCACAGAAGGAAGACAAAAAAACAAGGTGCTCTTATATGGTGTAAGGTAACTGTCAATAAAAATATGTGATAAGTGTCTGAATTTGTTGATTTAAATCAACAAACAAGTGTTTGTTCCTCTTGTCAACTCAATTTTTGTCAGTACTCCTGTCTGTGTGTTTTTGTGTTTGTCCCCCTCATCCACCAGGAGGCGCCTGGTTCTGATTCTCCTCATCACACCTGCTGATGATTTCCTCGTTAAATGGAGTGTTCTTAAGCTGCTGACTGCCACTACCTCGACACCAGAGTGTTTCCCAGTTTTGGGTACTCTAGCCAAGCTGAGTTTTGCTTAGTCAAACTGAGTTCTTGTCAACCTGAGTTTAACTTTGCTTTTTGTCTTTGCCTCTCGGCAGGAAGTCATCCTGCAAACTGGATTTCTCGGACCTTCTCTCCCTGAAAGGATCAACTGAGCTTCAAACTGAGCTGGGGTTCAAACAGGAGGTTTGGATCCACTTTCCCCAAGAGATTGTTTGAGCTTCTCACTGAGAAAGGGATTCATCTCCACTACGAGCCGTTCAAGTACCACAGGAAATCTGAGTGGCAGTCAGCTTCTCCTTTCACCAACTAACAACCTAATTCTGGGTAAACCCTGTTCCGCCCTCCACCGAATCAGACAAACACTGGAACCACAGCACATAGACAGGAGTTAAGGATCCAACAACTTCTCTGAAAATGTGAGTCGGCAACCAAATCCTCTTCTCCAAGTTCACGAGTCAAATTACCCACTGAGCCTGAACTAACCGCTGTGTCTTCTCCTCACAGTTCCGGATGAGCAGTGTTCAGAGCAACACTTCTCCCTCTGTTTAACTTCTTCAATAAAACCTGTTAAACCATTTCCCTGGTCTCTCTGTTTGGTTTTCTGCATTTGGGTCTGAACTTTGTAACATCATGACAATTCTATTCAGTTTATTTCTATAGCTCCAATTCACATCATGTCATCTCAGGTCACTTTCCAGATCACCAGATCATCCAGTCAGATTGATTCAAAGTTTTCTATCTAAGGAAAACCAGCTGATTGCATCGACTCATTGACTCTTCAGCAATTCCTCCCACTAAGCATGCTTGTAGCGACAGTGGAGAGGAAAAACTCCCTTTGAACAGG